GAGAGATGAAAGAAGGCCCAAATACTCAGATATCTTTTTTTTTTTTTTTTAATCCCTGTAAAAAAAAAGAAAAAAAGACGGGATTTTTTTGTATAGAGAACACTAAACATATAATAAAACATTGTTCAAAACTCGACGCCGAGCCTGCGGGTCACCTCCCTCGGCCACCCACAGCTCCGGAGCCTGCGGGATTGTGCCGGTGCCCAGCGTCCCCTCCTCCCTCCCCAGCCCTTCCCCAGGAAAGGAGGGTGTTCGGGCCCCCCAAACCATCTCCCAGCAGATTATCGGCTCCCAGAACTCCTCCCAGAGCCCTCCCTGACCATTGCCAAGGTCAACGCGACCCCAGAGCGGGCAGTGGGGTCCCTTCCAGGGGGAGCACAAGGCTGCCCCGTCCCTGCACGCCCTGGGGAAGCTCAGCACGTCCGGGACACTGTGCTGGCAAAGCTGGCAAAGCTCTGCACCCTCCCGGTGCCAGCTGCGCCCCCACACCCTCGGGAAGCACCCCCTGCGCCCCCACACCCGCGGGAAGCGCGGGATATGCGGGATATGCGGGAAGAAGGAGCCCCCAAGGCCCAGCAGACGCGGGAGCTCCCGGGGTTCACCCAGCCCCCCGTTCCTGGCACTGGTGCCCCCCCGGGGCCCATCCTGCCCTCCCGGCCCTTCCCGCTCCCGGCAGAGGCTCCCCGGGGCCGAGCCCTGCCGGGAAGGGGCTGCGGGAAGGGGGAGCTCTGGGGGTGATGGAGGTGGAATTGCTCGCTAAGAGGATGAAGGCATTAGTGCTTCCTGCTGCAGGGGGGGCTCCCCCCACCCCCTCCCCACCCCGACTGCAACAGCAGTGACCGAAAAAAAGGGACTTTTTGCCCAGTGCAGACCCCCCAGTGCAGACTGGGGCAGTGGAGGCAGCGGTCACACTCGGTCCCTGCCCCGGGGAGGGATGGCAGAGGAATTGCGCTCGGTGCAGAAATTCCAAGCTCCTGGAAGGCAGGGACTGCTCCAAACCCTCAAATCCACCGCTTCCCACTGCCCACGGGAGCCTCCAAGCCCAAGGTCTGGGCGTCTCTCGGGGCTGTCCAGGCGGCTGCTCCCACCGTTCCCACGGGACACAGGGGGCTTTTATCATCCAGGAACGAGCGACGACGGGCCGTGCCCGTCCCCGGGATCGATGCGGGGCAGACACGGACACATCAGCACGATAATGACACCCGTGTCTGCCCGATCTCTGCCCGGGGGCAGCAGGGCTGGATCGATACCGGCAGAGTGTCTCCAGTTACCCTCCTCCTCCTCGGAGAGGCAGCTCCAGCCTGTTGCCTTCCCTTCTGGCACCGGGAATATCCGAGGGAGCCCTTACAGAGCTGCCTTCCCCCCAAAGTGCTGTCCTGGTCTGTGTTTGCACCAGGACAAACACCCAAAAGGTCACTGATGTCCTTGTCACCTGCAGAGAGACCCTCAGAGAGCTGCTGAGAGCAGGGACACAAAGGAGAGGGGGCGGAGGGCAGGTCCCCCTCCCTCCACCGGGTCAGAACCCCCTTGGATTTCGCTCCTCTCATCCCTTTGCTGGGGGTCAGGCTCCGACCCTGCTCTTCCTTTCTGTCCAACAGGACACCAGCTCTCCCAGGTGAGGGCTGTGCGAAGGGCTGGGGCCGGTTCCTTCCAGTCTTACCCCAAAACGGCAGCGGGGAGCAGAAACCGGGACAAACCGGGCAAGGGGAAGGGAGCTGGGACCAGCACCGCGCCCCACTCCATCGCAGGCGCCTCCGGGACAGCAGGAGCTTTGCCGGTCAATAGAGACGCTAATGCCTTAATTACTCGTCGGTAATTGCAGCCCATTAACCTGTGGACAGCCCCAGCGCCCATTGATCTCCTCACATCATTAACAGGTCTGGGCCGGAGCTGGGAGGGATGGGAGGGCACGGTGGTCCCTGACACGCTCCCAAATCCTTCCGCTTCCCACAGCCCGGCAGCGACCTGCCCACCGGCAAAACCCCGCACCGGGGCACCCTCCACACCTCGGCGGGGGTGGCATCGGCGGCATCTCTTCCTTCCGAACTCCGGTGCCCGCAGGGAATCGCGGAGGAAGTCCTGGAGTGTCCCTGTCTCATCCCGTGGCATCGCTCCACCGGGACACACCTTCCCCCAGCCAGGATCTCGTGGCTGCAGATATTCCCGGGAAAGGCTCTGGGTGCCAGCCCCGAGCCCCTCGGACCACAGGCACAGCCAGAGGTGGCTCCGGCTCACCCAAAAAACCCAAAGGCGACCGCGGTGCCACCCCCGCGCCGCCCCCTCTGAGGGAACCGCGTCCTCCCGAGCTCAGCATCGGAGCATCCCAAAATTCGGCTGTACAGCAATTTCCTCAGCGGGAACACCGGCCCGGCTGGTGCATATATATACAGATATCCATCCATATATATAAACCACATATCTGGAGATATTGTGTAATATATGGATCTATTGTATAATATATGTATATATTTGGGCACGGGGGGTGCGTATGGACAGAAATACCTCACAGAGATGGGCGTCCCTGCCTGTCACCCCCCACCTGGGGCTGATCCCTTCCCTCCTGCCACCCCACAGAGAGGGGCTCGGACCCCTCCAGCTCCCCCCCGGCCCTACACCTGCTCCGGCCCCAGGGACGGGCCGAGCCGGCGGCGAGCGGAGCAGACGAGGGGGCTCTGCCGGGGGCTGGTGGGCGCAGCAGGCAGGGGGATGAATTATGCATGATGCTGCAAGTCGCTCTGCCTCCCTGACTGGTCCTTGGACTGTGGCAAGTGAGGTAAAGGCAGGAGGAGGAGGAGGGAAAAAAAAAAACCAGCCCTGCGCTCTCCGGGGAGCGGCGCGGTGGTTGGCAGCGAGCGAGGGAGCGCGCACGCAAAGGAGGGAGGGGAGGGAGGAGCACATCCTAATGCAGAGATGCTGCAGTGGCTCTGGGCACACACATCCCCGCTCGGGCAGCCACCAGCCGAGCGCTGCCTCGCAGCCGAGCCCCCCGGCAGCGCCGAGGCCCCGCAGCCCCCCGGCTCATGCCCGCACGGCCGCCCCGCACAAGGTAAGAGCCTTTCCCCTGCCCCGCGCCGGGCCCGGAGGGGTGCGGGAGGGGCTCCGCGTGCCCGGGGCACCCCTTCCCCACCGGAGACAACTCGTGGTTGGGTTTGCTTCGGCCGAGGGGAACCTGCCGGAGCCCGCGGGCCTCGGGCGGGGACCCTTCGGGCATCCCCGGGCGGGCGATGCCAGCGCCGGAGCGGAGCCGGGGGCGGCGGTGGGAGAAGGGGGGGCCGCGGCTGTGGCACTTGTGGCAGGGGCCGAGCGGCCGAGGCGGACGCGGCCGTCAGCGGGAATGTCTCCTGTGGGATGAGCCCGGGAATATTTTTGTTGTTATTTACCGCTGTCCCGCTTTTCCCCGTCGGCGCTCGAGGCGCTCGGAGAGCCCGCTCGCGGGGTCGGGGAGGGGTTTTGGGGTCCGCGGGGCTTCTGCTGCCACAAAACTATTTCAGCGTCTCCATCTGAGCCCTGAGCACCTGAGAGTTCCCTCTCCAGGGAGGAGGGAGCAGGGACACCGTGGTGTCCAAATTCACCCTCCTGGGAGGGGCGGGGGGGCAGATCCCAGGAGAGAGGAGGGAGAGGGGGATGCTCCGGGCACAGGGAGGGGATCTGTGAGGCTGAGGTTTGGGTCAGGGGGGCTCAGGGCTGTGGGGAAGCTGCAAAGTCATGGATGAATTGCCCACCCCGTGGGGGGCACCCGGCAGTCAGGGCATCCCTGTGCTCTCTCCCTGCTCACACAGGATGGATGTCGGGATGGGGAAGCAGCCGGTGGGAGGGGAGGCTGGAGGTGATTCGTGGGGCTCCCCCTTCCCATGCCTTGAAACTTCCCGAGCTCCCTCCTCATCCCACCCACGCTGCCCCAGTGGCTGCTCCAGCCCTGCTCCACTCCCAGCAGTCCCAGCATCATTCCTCTGGCTGCACTGGGGACTATTCACGGGACACTGTCATCTCTCCAAGGAAACACTGGTTGCTTTGAGGATGGGAGGCAGCAGCCTCTGCAGCCTCTGGCTTTCCCCAGACCCTCAGCACAGCTCAGCTCCTCCCAGGCCACCCCAAAGCGGGCCCACCAGAAGCTCTGAGGGCACAAAGCTCAAGCACAGGCTCTTGCATGAGATTGAGAAGCAAGTTTGCATCCAAAAACGAGCCTCTCAAGGCCAGATAGTTGGTCCTGAGCACACCCAACAGCTAAAACAGCCCCAGAAGCCACTTGCTTTGCTCACCCAGGGAAGCAGCGGGTCCCAAACCTTGTAGGAAT